TTAGACCGATTTTCATAGCCTATTTTTGGGTCTTCAAAGTGGAAAAATAGTATTTTAACTTTTTCGTTTTCTGTGTGTATATGTTTTAGTACACCGACTGTTCCATTAACAAGACCCTGATCGATTGATAAATTTGCTATTATCATGTAATTACCTGATTCTTTTAAAAGTAGCCTGTAGTTGTAGCCTTTTGTTTTAGTCCTGTGTTTTTTCTGGTAAGAATTCAAAATTGATTCTTTTCTTGCATTAGGTATTCCTTTCGTTTTATCATCCGCTATACATTCCACACTGAAACCAGTTTTGTTGTTTAAAAGAGTTTCATTAGCTTTATCAACGGATTTGTTATCTTGGTATAAGTGAATAACATCTGATGGTAATTTGTCTAATTCATTTTCTACATTCCGAGTGTTCAAAAGTTTCAGTTCCTCTTCTGTTATTTTTCCTTCTCCAAAATGAGTAAGAGCAGTACTGAAACGTAAGTCATCTTTTTGTCTCATTATTGTATTAAGTTCAAAAAATTGAAATTTTTTCCAGATATTATGTACTCCTATCTCATCAAGGTTTAAATTCTTTGATTCATATAAAGGTTTATCAAACACAGGAGGGAGCTGTTTTAAATCGCCTGCAAATATAACTGATATATTTCCTAAAATTTCTTTATTACCAAAAATTTGTTTCAACCTTGTGTTAACTTTTGAAAGAAGCTTGAGTCCTATCATAGATACCTCATCCATTATTATTAGCCTGACATATTTAAAATGTATTCTGATTGTGTTAGCTATGTCTGCAGACAATTCACTAATAGCTTCTTTATTCTGATTGACTGGCAGTGCAAATGCATGATGCATTGTAGTTCCACCGATTAAAAATGCTGCCTTTCCAGTTGGTGCAACTGTTAAAACTTTTACAGAATCAACAGGTTCATCACGTTCAGACTGGAAGAAAAGAGTAATTATTTTCATGATTGCCTTTAAACAATGAGATTTCCCTGTTCCCGCAACACCAGATAGAAGATAATGAAATGGTGTACTTCCACTCTTGAAATTTTGCAGAATCTGTAGAGTGAACATTTTTTGTTCTTCATTTAAATTGCTGAAAATTTCAAAAAAGTTCTCAGTAACAGACAATTTTGGTACTGTTCCATAACTGCTTTTTACTTCTTTACTTAAATTTGTCTCGGTAAAATCAATATGTTCATTGTCAAATTCAAAGGCATCTACATCTGAATCTGATGAAACATCTTCATTTTCTGTTTGTTCATTGGTTAAAGATTCAAGTAAATTGAACTGTATATCTTGATTTTCAATATTGTATGTCGCTTTATTAGCCAGTATAATTGCATTATTTTCTTTTTGTTCATATTTTGACTTACAATCAATGTTCATTAATTCATTTTCTTCACTACGCCAGGGTAGGAAGAGCATAATTTGTTCTCTGTAATAATCATTTTCACTTTCATGTTTTTGGAAATTACAAAATCGAATGATTTTAACATGTTGTCTAAAAATGGACTCGATATTAAAATTTGCAGGAAAACTTCTATTTCTCTCAGAATCTTTTATTCTGGCTACATAATCTGCAAGACAAATATTGTTCAAGTGTTCATCTCTTTTAGAATATTTGTCAATCATATCCGAAATGTATATATTTTTACTGGTTCTTTGTAATGTATTTAACTCACTCTTGCCTTTGAGAAGTTTTATTCTTTTGCTTGGTTCATTAGTGTTAATAAAGACGCACTTTCGGCTAAATTTGGACATTTCCAATCCCAGAATAATGTACGCTGCTTCTTGGGCTCCTATTGTTGTGTAATTTAAGAAAACATTAGCAATTTTATTTAATTTTTCTCTGAATGACAAGTCAGTACTATTTTTTATTTCTTCTGATATTTTATGCAGCATTTTTGAGGCTTCTGTATTAGGTTTGGAGATGTAATTTACTATGTATGATGCACATGCATAAGGGTCTAACACAAATTGAATATCCATATTGGATTCCATGAGGTACAAAATATCATAATTATAGTTATTTATGTTGATTTCTTTGCTATTCCTTTTTAAAAACACAGTAGGTGATTTAATAGAACTTTTAATTGCTTCTATGTAATTTTGATAGGTCATGTTGTCTAATTTTTTATCTAAAAATGTTTGCAAAGTAAGAATCTCTTCAGTTTCATTATTTGATTTGCTTAAATCCGTCAAAGCCATTTGAATTCGCTTAAAATTTTTTTTATCATTTTCTGTTGATTCTGATTGCGGTCGTAATATAACAGTTGTGTCAAAAATGGGTTTTGGATAATTAAATCTACAAATTTTATATTCTCTATTTTTATTCCTTTCTTTTTTATTTTTTTTGTAACATGTAAAAGTGTGCCTGTGTACTTGAAATTTAGATAGATCAGTGTTTTTTGCTGTGATGAATCTGTCAATAAATGCAATTAGTTTTTCATCATTATCACTGAAGATATCAAAATTTGGCACATCATTGTTTAGCCATAGGAAACAATGAATGTGTGGACTACCGCGATTTTGGAATTCAACCCTATAATAGTAGTCTTTGACACTGTGTTCATGAAAACAACCTTTGTTGTTTTTTAAAACAGTAGTAAATAATTTCTTGATTTTGTGATCAAAGTAACGTGCACAGGTTACTGGATCCTGTTGGATGAGATACAATTTTTCACAATCTGATAATTTAGATACATTTTCAACAGAAACATTTTTGTTGTGGACGTTTTCATATAAAATTTGCAGTAAATTATCCCACATTTTCTCTGCACCTGAAAGAGTTAGAAAAAGGTGAGGAAAGCCTAATTGCCGAATCATTGATATTAATTTCTTTTTTACTTTTTCCCAAAATGCAGGGGTTGTTCGAACATCTTGTAACAAATAATAAGTCTCTTTATCTTCAAATAAAGTCTGTAAAAAGTTTGAATCCAAAATTTCTTCTGCTGTTAAATCTTGAGTTTTGCCTCTTCTGACTGCAGTACTCACTTTCGATCTCATTTGATTTTCTAAAATTTTGTATGCGCTATACAATAACTTCCTTGGTACACAAGCCCTACGATCATATCTCATTGCTTCGGACTTAGCAATATCATGATAAAAAATTTTACTTTTTAGGTCATATTTATGACCGCAATAAATCTTAGGGTGACAAAGAATTTCCAAATTTTCTATGTTAGATGGTACAGGTTTTTTGTTTTCACCTGGTGCGATTGTTATTTGGGCCCTTTCAGTAATAATGTCATCATTATCTTGAATTAGTATCTCATCATCTCCATTATTATCACCATGATCAGAAGTTTCATCATCGCTAATTATTTCTAAGTCATCAGGTCCATTATTATCACCATGATCAGAAGTTTCATCATCGCTAATTATTTCTAAGTCATCAGGTAGATGGTGTAAGTCATAGTCTTTACTGCTTTCCAAGTTATTGACACTTGTTTCTAGATTTTGTACTTTATTTTTCTTTGATAATTTCATATTATCAAAGCATTCACCTAAATAATCAAATACCTCTTCATCTTGAGCTAAATTAACTCTTACTTTTGGATTCTTTGAATACCTATTAAAAAATTCATTTGAAATTGATATATTATGCTCTATATATAACGGTGTTTTGATAAGATCTTCAAGTGCTTGAAGAATATTGTAAGGTCGAATGGATTCAAACATATAGTTAGTTGAATGCTTCATGCACCGTTTGAATTTTAAAAGTATAACAAACAGACTATCAAAAGACCTGGGTAAAATTTGCTGGAAGACTTGATTTAGGTTTAATGGTATGTGTATTACTGCACCTTTCATTCCAAACTGAGAATGAATTGTATGTGGTAGTAATTCACGAATCTGCATGAAAGGTATAAATGGACTCACCATTCTTTCCTCTAATACTGATAGTTGTTTAACTGAATCAGGAATACTAGGATAATCTAAGCCATTACACAGTGCAACAGGTGGTAATTTCTCTTTGCGTAAGTAACTCAAACAATTATGACACAAATAGTTAGTACTAGGGACATAACAGTATTTCTCTTTCTTTATCTTACAGTTAGTAAGTTGTTCTGAAATTTTTGAAAAAAGTGCAACTGAGTGTGGAAAATATAATTTTCCACAACACATGCAAATTTTAGTTGGTCCTTTGGCCATTTCTGATTTGAATATTTTTATTAAATTAAAAGATATAGTTAAATAGTTACTTGTAGAGTTTGTGTTAAAATTATTCAGTTGATTTGAGGGTGACGTATATGCGTTTTCCTGAGAAGTGGCGGGGTCAACGGTACACAGATCATTTAAGAGGCCTTCTGTGAAGAACAAAATTATATATTACTTAATAATTATTATAACATTTACAATTATCACAACAATTATCACAACAATTTATAAGAGAATTTATAATTAAACATTTTACTATCAATTTACTTCTAAATCATTTTTTGTTTTTTGAAATTTCGAGAGAATAATAAAATAAATGTAAAAAGTCAGTGTTACGAACGTATTTCAAAATTACTTCCCACTGTTTTTGCAATGTTGTGCATTTACAAAAATTTTGATTACCATTTGAAGCAGAAGCTTGGCCTACGTGCTGTGGCATCGAACTTTTGTTATCTAATAGCATTAAAAATTATATCTTATTACCACACATTTGTTCTGAGCATAAATTTCTAAAACAATTTATCAGTCATACAGAAAAATCAATACATTCCATGATGAAACGTCATGAAAGTATAAAAATTTCAATTTTTAAAAAAATTGGACAAATAATCATTTAGTTGCAATCATAAGGAAAAATACAAACATACTTAATTAATAAAAAAATTGCAAGCAGTTCCGAAAATTATTATGATTAGATACTTAAAAATTGTTACATGTGTAACTTACATAGAAAAGTTTCAGATACTAAAATAGGGACTCATAATATGAGCTGGAATAAAAGTATATCAGGTGTGATATTTAATTTCAAATTGATAATTTAGAAATCGATATTGCATGAAAATTAAAGCAACTTTTGCTGTTTTGAATTTTTAACGGATATGAATTTTTCAAATAAATTTAATTCTAACATACAGTTTGTCATCATGACATACATATCTCAAGACTTTATTGAAACTTTTATTATTAGTAAAGAAAAGAAAAAATGAAAATGAAGTTAATGGAAAATGAATTGAATGTAAGTGTCGCAAAAAAAATTCACGTACTTAATTAAATGAAACTGAAGGCCCAAATTTTTAACAGCCGCTCATCTGAATAATTGGATGTATCCGCCTGTTGTGCTCACTCTTGCTACACTTTGAAAGTAATTAATTTTGCCATTTATGATTTTCACATTTCTATTAAGATCTTTTACATTGATGTCATTCATAGAAGATCCCCATAAATCGACAAATAATGTATTGCCGCATTCTCCTTTCACTAGTACAGATTTCTTTTCATAAGATTTATCCAGTCTAGTAGAATATACTTTATCTGGTTCGAAAACTTCAATCACTTTGCCTCGTATGTTGACTGTACTGTACTCTGGTAGGTTACTCGCTGTTTCAAAATCTGTGAACTCAATGACTATATCTTCAACAGGAACTTCGGAAGAATTAATCTTTGTAATTCTAGTTTTAGAAGTGCATGTAATCTCACATTTATGTTTGCTATATTGCCTATACTTTTCATTTGCTAATTTAATGATACCATTTTCGATTTCATACGTTTCATTGAAAATAACTTTTTGTGCAATTTCTGAAGCTTTTTCACTGAAGGCAGTTAGAAGGATGTCTCCGCTTTGATCCTTTAGGACAAATTTAATAAATTTTCCTTTCTTTTGAGGGGATTCATATGCAGTCAAATTCGTCAACATGATGACTTTACCTTTAATTTGCCAAGTATCTGTGATGCCAACATCTACGTCACTAATAGGCGTTACTTGATGTGTATCAGTATTCTCTGTAAAATCTGCAAATAGAAAACATACTAATAATAAAAGATGCCCTGTAGAAAATTTTTTTAGTGGTACAGGATAAGGAATGGTTTTTACAAATATAATTATGTGGAACATATAACATTAAGGAATTCAATTTTTTCATATTACATTCTAATTGAGGCATAGCAAAAATTTTCTTAGAAGTCAGCAAAATAGATTAGTAAAATTCGAAACCTCTCATTCCGAAGGCAATTTCCTTACAGTCCCTGCAGTGAAAATTGTCTACTCAGCAAGGTGCTTCGAAAATCTGAAACTTTTCGAAGCTCTATCGCATCAAAATGACGCGTTTCTGGAAAATTTGTGCAGTCCTGTCAGGCCCTGATTTTTTGCAGTCTTTCACTTAGTTTAATTCGTTTTTCTAAATATCATGTACCGAAAAGTTATCGCAATTTTCTAATTCGGGAATGCTCTTAATGTCATTTCCTGAGGATGTTTGTCATTGAAAACATGAAAAATGATCCCTGTGCCAAAAATAGGTGTAGACAACAAGTTTCAGCTACTTATTACAAAATAACGAGGAGTTACATCGAACTATTTAAAAGAAAAAAATGGCAACTTTGGAAGAGGATAGCTGACTTATGAAGCGTTTTCGTGGATATGTGTATGTGAAAAACAGTCATATTTTGAGCCCAAAAATCGACACTGAAAGTTAAATGGGTTAACTTCCAGACACCCTGTATATGAGCCAAATATATGTCTTTCTTATATGAGTATCAAATACTCTGATTGATAATCAAAATGGTATAATAATGCATCAATGAAAATTAAGTATAACGACACACAGAGGACAAAATACGAAAAAAATGAACAAAATACGAAAGGAAAAACTGTTACCTGACATTTGCCATGTTTCTGGAGGTGTTGTGTCATTAAATTCTTCTGAGTGGTGATGGGTATCAGTATCATTCGGTGAAGATTCTTTTCTTTGCTCTTCATTATCACTTTCAGAATCACTGAGGAATAGCTTCTTATTAATGTTTCCTGTTCTACGAACAGATATTTGCTCTTCATCATCACTTCCAGAATCACTAAATACTCTTGTTCTTTTAATGTTTCCTGTTTTACAGATAGAGCTGTTTTTGCTTGAATCAGAGACAGCAATTTTTTCACCATTGTTCAAATGTTCATTATCAGAAAGACTGAAAAAAATAAAAAAATAAACAAAATGATTATAGAAAGCATGACAATTAGCACCAAGGTGCATTAAATGAAATATAATAATTCATAATTGCAATAATTCATTTTGCACTGTGCAATAAACAGGGTGTCAACTATTCCTAATTTGTAAAAATCCTAATAATAAAATTTCTTCGCTGAGAAGTTTCAGATGAAAACATTCCTGATGGAAGGTGAGATTTTTCATATATTCTTGATATTTTCCTGATCAGCTAAAATTCATGATATTTTCCGGTTTTTCTTGATGCTAGACACCCTGATAAATAAACTAAAAAAAATAGTAAATAACCAAAGCTTACGCATTTATTCTTAATTTTTTATGACTGCCACAGGGAGAAAAATTAACTTGTAAGTGCCATTAATTAGGGTGGTTTAAAACAGGGTTTGAAATGGCAGCTTGTAGCTTTCAAAAGTAGGCAGCATGATCAGTATCAAAGGTGATACATAGTGGAAAAATACATGGTGACATCACGTTGTTGATGTGTTACTGTTGATGAAATGAAGGTTATGTATGTTAATTTGTTGATGATTTTAGCACATTGTTCTTAATTTCTTAATTTTTTCAATTCGAATGGGATGCATAATCAAATAGGATGTGAAACATTTAAACAGAAGTCACTTAATCGCAAACAAAAAAAAAATATGTAAACAGCGTTAGCCTAGTGGTAGTAAGCAGGTTGACTTAGCTGCCGACATTTTCCCGTCTATGAGGCATATTTTCGAAGATTGATGGCCATAACGAACAGAACTGTTCATACATGTGTTTCATGACGCCTAAAAAAAATTGTTATATCTCCGTGGAGACATTTTTTTGTTGAATTTTACAGTGTGGATCGTTATTGTTTTGCGGAAAACTGTAGGAATTGATTATTTTCAAACGAATATTTTTAATTTCGAACAAATTTTTATTCTCGTAGAATAAATTATTGTATAGTATAGATACAGAAATATTAGTAGGATATACAAACCTTGGTTGGGTTTCTGTTATAGTCCATGAAGTTTGTGCACCCTCCTTCATTTTTTTTCGAGGTAAAAATTTACGGTCACCTTTTCTTCTGCATTGAGAACAGAAAACATACATTCTGAAGAAGCAACTACAACAATTATTTAAGATATGCAAATACATTTAGTCACAGCCTTTAAAATGCAGTATATGTTAACAGAAAATAAATTATATTAATTTTTTTTATCAAATTGTAATGGGAACCAAGCTCTTTTCTCAAATTATTCAAATAAATCGTTTATGTTGAAAATGAATGAAGGTTTTCTTGCAAAAAAAAGGAAGGTTTACGAGGCAGATGGTCTTTTTATTTTAAAGGTGAAAAAGAATCCCGCACAGAAGATCAGGATCAATGTCTCTCTCTAGAAGTCAATGAAACTTTAATAGATTGATATAAAGATGTTAATTGAAGGAAAGCCAAAAAATTAGCTCATTTTTGAAGCCAAAATATTTGCAATTGATTCAGAACTATTTTCTATCATACCGCAGCATGGTGAAAGAATACACAGTCCCCTCCCCTCTCGTTTGGCGTTTTCAATGAAACAAGACGCGTAGATAGGTGCTTATGCCCTCAGCCAGTGGAAATGCTATACTTCATCTCTCTCCCCCCATCAGTTCATTCTGTTTCAGCAACTACATTTCAAATTCATCCGACCAGCATTGAACTAGCAAGGATTCAAAGAGGGTATACGTGAGAGGTGTGAGAAGCAGAGAATTCTATATCTCACAACCCAAACAGAGCATCTAAATGGAAGGAGTGAGTGTTAAGAATGCGAGATTGTAGGTACCTGGAGTGAAGAGGGGGTTTCCTAGCCAAGTAAGATAAGGTGACGCGGAGCGCCTATTTACTTCGTCAATACAGAAAATAATCTGAGTTCAATTGCAAGTTCCTCGGCTTCTACTCGCAAAGTTAGCTAATTTTTTGGCTTTCCCTTGTATATGAGCTTTGTATGAATCTATTAAAGTTTCATCAACTTCTATAGAGAGCAATTGCCCCCATGCTCTGTGCCGAGTTCTATATCTTAAGGTCAACATGGCAATGTTCACAGTAATTTTGATGACAACAACTCTTTGTGCTTTTCCAAATTCTGTAGGTACAATAAATTCATTATTCTACATGATTTAAGTACCAAGATCACCTAAGCTTTAAAAAAAAATCACTTCTCATTTTCTTTTATGTTTAGCACATAGTATAATATGTATATAAATATGACAAGTAAGACAATTTAACATTGTTCAGAACCATGATTCTGAATAAAGGTTCTTTGAAACGATTCCATCGAAGTTTAAGATAAAGGAAAAGTACACACCTTTTCAAATTTTTCAATTTTTTGGGTTTAACTGACGACTGGGAGGAGTGGGAGGAAGGCTGAATGAAGGGATCCCCCTTCTTCACTTCCACTTTTGACTTGGAAGCTGCATCTGGTACAGAAGTTGATGCTTCCTTGCCATGCACAGGAACATCCTTGGAGACACTGAAAAAACAAATTCAATAATTTAGATTTTTATTAAAATTAATTTTTATGTCATTATCTTTCAAAATGTACGTTTTTATTGATATTCTCAAAGCATATTGGGAAATACAGCTCATGTGCAGACTGAAAAATTGTGCGAGTGTGCAGGCGTTATCGCCATTCAGTTCTTCTCTTGAAGAGATTATATTTTGCGTGAGAAAAATTAAATTACTTTGGACAATTTTTGCGATTAAAAACGTGTATCATGGAAAATGTTCTGATCAAAGCTTTGATGCATCAATTCGTATTTACGCTTACTTCTGAAAAATTATGTACCGAAAAATTTTCTTACATTTCCTATGATTTACCTGACTACAAACTGATATTTTCAGGTTCCTGAAAATTCCATGCATAACGCTGACTTTGAGAATTTTCCAAGAGGCAACAACGCAGTACTAAGTGGTGGACATATATTTTTATGAATAAGCTTAAAAAGTTCAAGTAAAATTTCATACCGTAGGGTGGAGGAGAGAAAAAATACACACCTATTCAAATTTTTCAATTTTTTGGGTTTAACTGACGACTGGGAGGAGTGGGAGGAAGGCTGAATGAAGGGATCCCCCTTCTTCACTTCCACTTTTGACTTGGAAGCTGCATCTGGTACAGAAGTTGATGCTTCCTTGCCATGCACAGGAACATCCTTGGAGACACTGAAAAAACAGATTCAATAATTTAGATTTTTATTAAAATCAATTTTTATGTCATTATCTTTCAAAATGTACGTTTTTATTGATATTCTCAAAGCATATTGGGAAATTCGGCTCATGTGCAGACTGAAAAATTGTGCGAGTGTGCAGGCGTTATCGCCATTCAGTTCTTCTCTTGAAGAGATTATATTTTGCGTGAGAAAAATTAAATTACTTTGGACAATTTTTGCGATTAAAAACAAGTAACATGGTAAGTGTTCTGATCAAAGCTTTGATGCATCGATTAGTATTCACGCTTACTTCTGAAAACTTATGTACCAAAAAATTTTCTTACATTTCCTATGATTTACCCGACTACAAACTGATATTTTCAGGTTCCTGAAAATTCCATGCATAACCCTGACTTTGAGAATTTTCCAAGAGGCAACAACGCAGTACTAAGTGGTGGACATATATTTTTATGAATAAGCTTAAAAAGTTCAAGTAAAATTTCATATCGTAGGGTGGAGGAGAGAAAAAATACACACCTATTCAAATTTTTCAATTTTTTGGGTTTAACTGACGACTGGGAGGAGTGGGAGGAAGGCTGAATGAAGGGATCCCCCTTCTTCACTTCCACTTTTGACTTGGAAGCTGCATCTGGTACAGAGGTTGATGCTTCCTTGCCATGCACAGGAACATCCTTGGAGACACTGAAAAAACAAATTCAATAATTTAGATTTTTATTAAAATTAATTTTTATGTCATTATCTTTCAAAATGTACGTTTTTATTGATATTCTCAAAGCATATTGGGAAATATAGCTCATGTGCAGACTGAAAAATTGTGCGAGTGTGCAGGCGTTATCGCCATTCAGTTCTTCTCTTGAAGAGATTATATTTTGCGTGAGAAAAATTAAATTACTTTGGACAATTTTTGCGATTAAAAACAAGTAACATGGAAAGTGTTCTGATCAAAGCTTTGATGCATCGATTCGTATTCACGCTTACTTCTGAAAACTTATGTACCGAAAAATTTTCTTACATTTCCTATGATTTACCCGACTACAAACTGATATTTTCAGGTTCCTGAAAATTCCATGCATAACCCTGACTTTGAGAATTTTCCAAGAGGCAACAACGCAGTACTAAGTGGTGGACATATATTTTTATGAATAAGCTTAAAAAGTTCAAGTAAAATTTCATACCGTAGAGTGGAGGAGAGAAAAAATACACACCTATTCAAATTTTTCAATTTTTTGGGTTTAACTGACGACTGGGAGGAGTGGGAGGAAGGCTGAATGAAGGGATCCCCCTTCTTCACTTCCACTTTTGACTTGGAAGCTGCATCTGGTACAGAGGTTGATGCTTCCTTGCCATGCACGGGAACATCCTTGGAGACACTAAAAAAACAAATTCAATAATTTAGATTTTTATTAAAATTAATTTTTGTCATTATCTTTCAAAATGTACGTATTTATTGAAATTCTCAAAGCATGATTGCGTCATGATTGCACAAACTTTCTACAAGGCCCTCTCTCTGAAAACAAGGCAAAATAAGATTCTCTTATTCAGCAATAAAAAGCCAGAGGGTTTCCTCATTTCAGCAATCCATTCAGTTCTTCTCTCGAGAAGATTATATTTTGCGTGAGAAAAATTAAATTACTTTGGAATATTTTTGCGATTAAAAACGTGTAACATGGTAAGTTTTCTGATCAAAGCTTTGATGCATCGATTAGTATTCACGCTTACTTCTGAAAACTTATGTACCAAAAAATTTTCTTACATTTCCTATGATTTACCCGACTACAAACTGATATTTTCAGGTTCCTGAAAATTCCATGCATAACGCTGACTTTGAGAATTTTCCAAGAGGCAACAACGCAGTACTAAGTGGTGGACGGATATTTTTATGAATAAGCTTAAAAAGTTCAAGTAAAATTTCATACCGTAGAGTGGAGGAGAGAAAAAATACACACCTATTCAAATTTTTCAATGTTTTGGGTTTAACTGACGACTGGGAGGAGTGGGAGGAAGGCTGAATGAAGGTATCCTCCTTCTTCACTTCCACTTTTGACATGGAAGCTGCATCTGTTACAGAGGCTGATGCTTCCTTGGCATGCACAGGAACATCCTTGGAGACACTGAAAAAACAAATTCAATAATTTAGATTTTTATTAAAATTAATTTTTATGTCATTATCTTTCAAAATGTACGTATTGATTGAAATTCTCAAAGCATGATTGCGCAAACTTTCTACAAGGCCCTCTCTCTGAAAACAAGGCAAGATAAGATTCACTTATTCAACAATAAAAATCCAGAGAGATTCCTCATTTTAGCACTAATGGAGAATTTGCATGCACAATTTTTATCGTTTCATCTGAAAGTGCTTAAGGAGCTGATCTCACAGTATTTTTTATACTTTTTTCATGATATAGAAAATAGTATGAAAATAGATTTAAAAGTGAGAAAATGCACCGCCTAGTGATGTCATCTAGCGGCATTTCTCATTTAAACACATGTATTCCAGCAGATCAGATCATTTTGTCATATTTTCTCCAGAAATCGTTCAATTCATGAACCAAGGGTATCTCCGTGTTCAGTTAACTCAGTAGTTTCCAGTTATCATTACAGCAACTCTCTATTACATACTAATTGTCAATCGGAGGAGAGCAGGAAAGAAATGGGATTCTTTAACGCCAAATAATTGAATCTTTTTCGGCATTTTGTGCAAAAAAAATAAACAAATTAATGTTGTGTCATTCTGCACTGTTCCGTAAGAGGTGTGCAGGGTCCTTTGAGAGATATTTGTAAATTTTTAAAGATAAGTAATACTCTTCCTTTTATGATGATTCATCTGGCATCTGTAACTTTTCATGTATCTGTTCACTGACAAACTATTCTAGACTTTTTAGGTTCTCCAAGTGTACACAAACCTTGGAAAACTCAACAAAACTTTCAAAGGAAAAATATACACTAACCTGGATAGTGCCTTTTTGCCTTGAGATCGAGTTCTCATAATGAAACGCTCTGAAAAAAAAAGAGAGGGAATTATATGAGTTGGCATTTGTTTACTTTTGGTTCCCAGGCTTTTTAACATCGCTACAAACTACATGAAAACATAAAACTGTTTACTTTCAGCTCCCAGGCTTTTTTGCATCGCTACAACCTACATGAAAGCATACCGCTCACGAGGTTGGCATTTGTATACTTTCGATTTGCAGACGCTTTCACCTAACTACATGAAAACATACACCTCTCTCAGAAACAAGTATCAAACTAACACACGATTGGTTACGTAACCTTGTATTCTTCAATAATACTTCAATTTTTCAGCCATTGACAAGTAACAACAAAATAAAGTGAAGGATCATAATTAATAAGTAGCTTGTTCAGATAATTAAGGTTGTTCTTATCTTCGAGACGGATGTTTTCAAGGTGGATAGTAGCCAAGTACAAACAAAGGGGTAGGAAGACAAAATTGAGAATCACTCGAAAAGATCTTATGAAAAATCCTGATATAAAGTCGTAACTACGGCGGAATGTAACTCCCATAGCGGCGATAGGAGAGAGAGACAAAACATGAAAGATTGTGTGGGCACCATCAGACCATCAACAGGTTGAAAGGGCGGCCATAGGCCATAGACTTCTTACACTGGACGACGTTCACATCGCAATGTTGATTCAAATAAACCATCGCAATGTTGATTCAAATAAACTAACAATATGAGCTTAAAAAAATAATTTGAAGAATACTGTTTCAGTAATGGTCGAAAAAAGTGATATTTTAAGGGATTAGATTTAAAATGGAAAGAGTTGTCGGCGGCCATCATGGCCGTAGCTTCCTCACACCGGGCGGCGTTCAAATGGCAATGCTGATTCAAATAAGCTAATAAAGTAATAGTAAATATTTGAAATGGCAATGCCGATTCAAATAAGCTAATAAAGTAATAGTAAATATTTGAAGGGCAATATCGTATGTACTTACCATACTTCAGTTTCCAAATTGAAAGCGACAGCAGTAAGAGGTAGGAGGTACACTTACACAAACACTGATCACAGAGTTAAGAAACGTTAGAGGCCGATAGAACAGAGATACGAGCAGGGAGGTTGTTGACCACGCACAGATAGGCCACCGCCTTGCAGATAGGCAATTAGTGATTCATCATCACCCAAATGGACAGGCGGTATACGGAAATCGGCCAGCAGCGCGCTCTTGCGCCATCGCAGAAAAGACACGGCAAACTTATGATTTAGGTTCTCTATATACAGGCAGACATCTATACTCTGTGCCACCACCCACTGATGATATACAAAAACCACACTTTGAAAATGCACCAATCACAAAATAGCACACTAATACGTCACAAAAATGAAGAGATCACGTGACGGTTCATGATTTTTTCGAATCAATCTGAAAGTACAGCCTCGAATATAAGGCATTTAAGCATAACGAAGCCTTAAAATACATTAACCAGGTAATACGTCCGTGCGAGATTGTTATGGTTAAAAGCAAAACATTTCACGAAAACTTTTACGAATACCAGATGCAGAAAAAAATCCAATTTTCCCGGGTGTACCACAATGGCGTCATTACCCATAAGGCAAAAGGGCATGTAGTATAGTACATGTTACATCGGGGGAGTCGAACGGTTGGAAAGGGCGCATCTGGTACCCAGAAGCGCCCAAAAGCTTTCACTTGTGGTGCTGAAAATTTCGAATAATTTTTTCCTTTTTCTGGTGGG